CTGTCTGCAAAGTATGACAGGGTCCGGTTCCAAGTTTCTTCAATTAGGGCTGTGATAGGCAGTGCTCGCACTCCTTTAAGAACACCATTGTACACCTCTGACATGTTGCTGGTCATTATTCCATACCGAGCCCCGGTGTCGTGAGCCTGCGCCCACTTGTCCAAATGAGGGCAATTCTCGCCGATCCACTGGCTCAAATTTATGGGCGTCCTACGACCCCTCCGGTCTTCTCTCTGCGGCAAGGCCGCGCGGTCAATCTCACCATTGATACCTGCCCAGATCGCATTCATTTTGGCTTCAGTTTTTTGCATGCACATCCTCTTGAATAACTTGAACCAATCCTTGTTTTTGAATTTGGAGTAAAAGTTTGCTGCCAAATGCCTCATGCACCACCTTCCCTCTAGATCGGGCCAGCCCCACTCTTCTTCCGACGCCTTAATTATTTCAAGAGCGCTTAATAATCCAGTGTTGCGATCAAAGATGATGCAAACACCTTTACGCTCTTTCACGACACCAATCTTCACGCAGCTCAGGAACCACAACCAGCTATCTTTGTTCTCGCTCTCGACCAATGCATATGCAATAGGAAGAAGCTGATTATTTACATCCGCTGCAATAGCCACCAATAGTGTGCCCTTGTACTTTCCAGTGAGAAAGGTACCATCAACTGATAATACCGGACGACAGTGCCTGAAGGCTTGTATAGTCTGGGCGAATGCCCAGAATAAGCGGTCCAGGATTAGCTCACCCGGGTTCAATGGGTTTGGACGTTCTCTCCGCCAAACTTGAGTCCCCCTATTAGCACTTGCTATTTGATGAAGCATTCTAGGTGCATAAGAATATGCCTCCTCATAGGTACCATACAAGTTCTTGAATATATTTTCCTTCGCACGCCTAGCCTTGCTGTAGCTAACAGGAAATCCAATTAGATCCCCTGCATCTTTTTGCAGAGCCCTAACACTAATGTTGAGACTTCCCTGCACAATTGTTTCCATCGTTTGTGCCACATATTTTGCTGTCACATTGCAGTGATCTGAAAGAGTGCCAGTTTGCTCACAGATATGCTCCACTATTTTTGTGATATGCCATGACTGACATACCCCAGGCTTCAGTCTAGCGAGAACTCTTCTGCGGCAACCTTTCGCGGTGTGGATGCATATGACCTTCAACTCTTTTTTATCAGACTGCTTCACTCTATGCTGGTGGTGGATGCCGATTGCATAGCTACCCATTGCCTGGTAAGCAGACTTCTTGTCTGGGAAAACTTGCCCAACCTCCAGGCTCCCCGCTCCTAGGCCAGAAGCAGAGTGAAATTCATTGGTGATGCTCATATCCTGTAAAAATCCAGGTTGCAGTGCCGTCGCGACCGCCCTCTGAGGAGGAACATCTTCTTCTTCGCTTGACTCCGAAGACGCAGAAGAATCATCATCATCATCTAGCGCCTCCGGCAATCCCTCCACGTGTTCGCTCATGTCAACGGCCGCAGACCAATATCCTGTGTCATACACAGGCTGGCCGCCCGTCGGTTCCGATGGGCCGACGCTAGGGGCTGATGTGATGGCCAACTCGACCTCACCACCCCTGCTACTGCATCCGGCAACATCAGTGACTGAAATGAAATCCACATACACCATCGGCTGACCATACATTGAGTTATTGGGATTGCATGCAAACCTCATGTACGACCCCCACGACCGATCACCTGTGACCGGCCGCAAACCCCAACGGGCAACTGTCCCATCATTTCCTCCGTCAACGACGAAGGCCTCCATTGTCAATCTTTTTCCCTGCATCCCTGGGCCAAACACCTCTCGGATGCACCTTCTAACTGTTGCGTAACCCACATTGACCATGTCTATCACTACAACTATAGTCAACTCGCACAAGGACACATCCACCCCCAATGGACCGTCGCGTAAGACGTTCCCATAGTACACTACTAAATTTTCCATAGTACCTAACCAACATACATGTTTACATTGCAAACAATTAGTAACAGAACATTTAGTAGTAGTAGGATGACAACATTTACATATCATACGACTAAAATAATAATCGTATTTTTGTTACAAAAAATAATAATCATTTGCTTAGACTTTCCGGGGTTGTTTGGTTAACAGGTATTTAGAGATCTAATTTTTCTCAAACTCGTCTACTAGCGTCACAAACTAAAACTCTGTTTGCTTATCTCTAACTACCCCTAAAATATCCTAAACTCTGTTTGCTACTAAGATGAATTGTTTTACCTAATTATATACATCATCAAGTACATTAGCACAAATTCGTAACATACAAAATTTAGATTATTTCGACATAACAAAGTAGACCTGCAGCCTCCTAACTATAGACTTATTAATAAACATACCACATGAAATAACATACCACATGCAATGAACAATTACAGTACAAGTGTTTCTTAATTACCGTATTAAGATTTCTTGCATGTCAATACTAATGGACGCACCTAACATTGATACAACATCTTCAACCTACTCTTCTAAAAAATATATTATAAATGCTACATCTGTCGTCTGAAATTATTTCTAACCTCTAATCACTAACATTGCATAGCTAATGATGAGCTAAAAGACTAACTAATTACCACCTTGCATGCACAAAAAAATTAATTTATTGCAAAGCTCATACCTTGATCTTCAACTTCGTAGTTCACTTCGCTAGGCAAATCGTACTCCTGAAGCTCTAAATGACTCCAAAAAGTGATGAAATAATGCCTAACAAAATAGATAACACATAGTTATGAACTAAACAAAAAGGGTAAAAACATAATGCATGCAAACGAAACCAACAAAAATGGATAGATCTTACCTTCGTCTATCTTTTCTTCAACTTCAACATATTCAAAATCCAACTCCAAATCGCCCTAAATCACGAGTGAAAGTGCCTGCTGAGTTTTTCTTTCTCTCTGTTCTTACACACTCAGAAGGTAGAAGAGGATGCCAGTGTGCTTGCACACGGAGCAGAAGCATACTATATAAAAGGAAGAGAATCCCTGTAGTGTCGGCACAACAGGTTCCCGCAGCCTCGGATACCCGCAGCGAGTGATTCCCGCAGTGGCATCGAATCTGCTGAAGCAATAATCAACGTGATTCTCGCAGTGCCGTCGCATCCGCTAAGGCAAAAGAAGCAAAAGCCAGAGTGATTCCCGCCCGTGAAATTCGTCGTCCTCCGCGCGTGGGAATCAGCCCAGTTAGCAACAGCGAGCCCGTGAAATTCGTCGTCGTTGCGCCTGGCAAAGCAACAAGATTAAGCAAGCAACAAAAGTGACGCGCACGGGAATCAGCGCCTGAAAAAGTGTCCGCGCACGGGAATCAGTGCCTGAAGCAGCGCTACCGCCTCACCTGGTGGCGGCCGGGCCCGCTATCTCGTCGCGCGCGCAGCAGACCGTGTCAGCAGGAGAGCGACAGCGGCAGCGGCGGCCGCCTCACCCGGTGGCGGCCGGGCCCACGTGGCGCGGCCCGTTCCGTCGCGGCACGCTGCACTGTGCAGAAGCCGTTGTGCCCCGCGAGGCCGCCTCCTGCGGTGGCGGCCGGGCCCGCCGCCTCGTGGAGTGGCGGCAGGCAACACGTGTCGCCTGCCGCCACTTGTGAGGGGGTCTTTTTTGTCAATTTCGTCCGCAGGGGGTCTTTTTTGGCAATTCCAGTCGGCAGAGGGTCTCTTTCGACAAAAAATCGCCATATATGAAGGTACCCCGCAAAGAGAGATTCTTCAGATGTTCTATTTTTGTGTTAAACTCAAAGGGAAAAACAATGTAAAGCAGTCAGCCAAGCCCAATAGCCGAACTTCTGATGTTTCTCATATCTGGAAAGAGAGTTAACTGGATCAGTTAACTTCTTGGTTATCCTGGAAAAACAATGATTTGGCTTGCATGCAGTGAAACCGTGTTTTACCAGTTCAATGCTAGAATACTTATCCTACTCGTTGACCTTGGAGATGGTAGCAGCCTCTACTATGCAATCTATCATTTGAAGTGCAGATGAGAGTAGTATTTCTCAAGTCGTACTATCATGCAAAGGAATCTTCCTGGAACTAGCTAGATTTCCGGGGGGTCATGTGGATCTGTCTGTCTGGCACAGATCTCTCTGCATTTTCTATGCACATATGCCCCATACCATTGTGGTGCATCTGGTTCTTGTTCTCCAAGAACGGAACATACTTTGGTGCTTAATCACACTCTATTATTGCCTGCACTTAGACTAGGAACCCCATGCAAATGCAATGTTTTGTTGCCATTCCAACACCGAATTTAGACGCGCTGCTGGAAAGGAAATCCAAGAACCTTTTCAGGTCAGTTTTCAGGCGCGGCAATATACATGAGGAGATCAGACTCCGCTAAGAGTTCAACGCTATCCTGTTTCAGAGAAGTTTCTGAGGGCATAGATTCTCCACGTACTTACGGTAGAAACAAGGGTCGGTAACAAATTTCCAATGATAACAATACTCTTAACTACTCGATGAACTTTGTAGGTTGGACACGACAGACAACCCACCTGCACAGATAGAAGATGAAAATAAAAGGAAATGGCAGCGGAGAGAGGTTGCACATCATCTTGAACATTTTCCAGTTCGAATCGCTCCGTCAGATCAGTGGAACGAACTGCGGTGAATGTATTCACCATCGTAGCCAAATCACAAAAGGTACAAAATCGTAAGCGGAACTGTGTTCTACCCTCTCGGTGCACAGGGAGCACACATCCCGTATGCTATGCTAAGATAAAAAAAAAACAAATAACACTGGAGCTAATTGTTTCATTCCATTTCGATTTTGTATACAACTGAGTACCTGCCTGTCATGTCTGAATCTCCTTTGTCGGTCTTGCAGAATGCAATTTTTGAGCTTCGCAGCAGCATATGCAAAAAAATCTTGATATAACTTGATTGAGGATCTCTCATATCACAGCATGCTAATCTCTTATAACTTCAGGATTCTCCAGCTATTCTCTAAAAAAAAACTTGCCATGCCATGGACATAATAATAAGAATCATGTTTCCTCTGGCTCTGGCTCTGGCTCTGCCTCCGCCTCCGCCTCCGCCTCCGCCTCTGCCCCTGCCCCTGCCCCTGCCTCTGCCTCTGCCTCTGCCTCTGCGTGTGGCTCTGCCCCTGCCCCTGCGTGTGGCTCTGGCATTGGGATCCTCTCGAAGCAGGCAAGAAACTCTGTGTTCCCTTCTGCGCCTTTCAGCGGAGACTCGATCCAGCCCCCATTGCGAAATCCAAACTGCTCAACGCCTGAAATTATCCTATCTAACACCTGTAATGCAGCAATTGAATAGGTTGGTCTACTTCAGGTAAAAGGAAACAACAAACAAACACTACACGCATGGGATCCTTTCTCAGGATAGTCCAATATTCCAAGTTGAAGTTTTCCTTAAGTGTACTATTTGCTAGTGGGATTCAAGGGGAAAACATCGTAATCAAGCAGAAGATTTGTGGTAGCCTTGGCCAAGGGGAAATAACAAAAAGGAATGACAAATAATCCATGAAAAGCTCTGCGAAATAGGATACGCAACAGAAGTAAAAAAGAAAGACAAATATCAATTTCTTACCTCCTTATGAACCAGAGGGTCTCGAACAATCCCACCTTTTCCTACCTTAACAGGATAAAAACAGATACAGTGGCTTGTGCATCAGTATTATTGTACTTTTCCATATGATGATCAACTGAAAGTTATTAAGAAAACTAAGAGGAAACTTGTTTTATACCTGAGATCTACGAGCTTCAAACTGAGGTTTGATAAGTGTTATCAGTGTTGAGTTTGTCTTCATTACTTTGACCACTGCAGGCATAACCTAGATTCCACAGATAGTATAACTAAATACTGGACAACATGTATGTTATAGTAATTTCTTTAAGCTGGCAGTGAAGGCCCTTGCGCATGCAAAATATTGGAGAGCATGAAAAACAGAAGCACAATACCGGAGGACGTAAAAAACGGCACAAAAAGAATTGCAAAGGGGTGTACACCTCGTTATTACCAGTTTACCACAGAACCGCGTCATTTTCTTCCTAATGTATGCATTTTACTATTTTGATCAGTGAAGCTCTAGTGTCCCTAAATGCAAACTAAAACCTTATAGCTACAATGCATAAACCAATGCAATCAAGCTGGTCCTCTCAGTTGATTGGGTTGCGTCACATGAACTTGATTTTACAGCATGCTGATTTACATCACACTAACCATGTGGAGAAAGCATATCAAAAGGTAATCTCATGCATAGAAGCACAATTAAGGAACAGAGCAACAAATCAGAAACAGCCTAGCGCACTCCTTCATTAACTGTAGTGAATTACGAGCATATAATAAGGCCACTATAAATGTATCACACCACACTATAGTGCACAGCAAATCATACCACAAGAATAGAGATGAATGATAGGTCCAGCGTCACCAGGTCAACCAGTTGTGGCAGCTTAGAAAGATGTCTCAAGTTTGTACGTTCAATTACTGAGACATGTTCATGCACACGAATTTTTTCAGCCACCTGAAAATAAGTAGAGCATATTGAGATTTAAATAGTTATGCTGCTCCAACAGGTAGCAACCACACTCAGCTGCCAAAATAAAGGAGAGGAGCTGGATAAAAAATAGACATCTCAATGAGTAATGTAACCTGTCCATAGCCAACATCAACACCGTACACATGTGATGCCCCATGCTGAAGTAAACAGTCGGTAAAACCACCTGTAGACAGCCCTGAATCAAGGGCTATCTTTCCATCACAGTCAACTCTAAATTCTTTGATAGCTGCCTCAAGCTTATGCCCAGCCCTGGATTAGGTCACAACAAACGATACGATTATGAACCTGATGCTGCTATTACATTTTTATAGGATAATGAACCTAAATATAAAGCTAATTATTTAGAGCATCACCTACATACATATTTCGGGATTTCAGCCTTGATTTCTATGACTGACTTGTCAGATACTTGTGTTCCAGCTTTGTTCACGACCCTTCCGTTTACATGGACCTTACCTATAGCATTCACAAGGTTGAGTATATAAGGTTCAAAGGTCACATTGAAAGGGTAAGTGTCTAAATAATTCCAGAAATTGCTTGCACATATCAAATGTGGCAGTAGCATGAGAAGCACATACAAGTATACAACCTAATGCAATAGGGAAGTTCAAGTGCCGCGAATTTGAACTTTCGCCCAACCAATTCAACAAAACCTATATTAACACACTAGAGGCGATACCAATGTAGACATGCAGGAGACAGACAACTAGATGGTTAATAAGGCGTAGTTTTTACTAGCAGAAGGAATAAGAAAGCCCTAGTTGGCTCCGATTAAGGGATACAACCCCTGTCATCTTAAAGTTAGGAATAGTACCATTCAAATTAGGAAGTTGTTAGTTAGAGATAAGGTGTCCTTAGCCTGGGGCTTAAGCCAATTAGAGATAAGATATTTGGTTTGTTAGTCCTCTGTAAAGAACCATGCTGCTAACTGTCCAGAAGGATGAGATTCAAAGTCAGTGTGACAACATGCTATGCAAAGCATCAAACACCATAGCAACTCCGAGCTTTACTCGGTCCATATTGTCAAGAAGCAACAATGAGTCATGGACATCCGTATTTATGTAGCACTCAACGACAGAATTGTCAAGGACAAAATCCCGATCCCCATGGCGGACGAGCTCCTTGATGAGTTTAATGGCCACAGGTATAATCCCGTTCATACACACCTGTCGGACATCAAGAAGACAGTGTTTCAGGTGCATCATGGCTATTTCACGTTTTTTTCTTGAGCATGCCATTCGGCTTGAACCAACACGCAAGCCTCCTGTGACGTTTTTTTTCTTGTTCATGCCATTCGGCTTGAACCAAAATGCAAGCCTCCTGTGCACCAGTGATGTTGCAACTTACCATTTAGACCGGTGCACAAACAAGTCAAATCTACCTTCGTTTCAGAAGTACACCTTTTCTTTCGGTGTTTGCTAATCTAGTTTCACCAATATATGAGCAAGAGTAGCCATTCACAAGGGCCAGGCTCATTCTTTCCAGATTTCGTTTAGCATGAGAAGCTAATAGCATGCCATATGTTTCAGTTTATATGGCATGCTCTGAGTTTGCTTCTTGAAGCATAGGTTATTAAACGCAAAGTACCCAATTAATTTATGCAAGTATGTAAGTGTAGGTTATGAAGATTCAAATGCACAAAAAAATTGTGTGGGAGAACTAACCCTGAAGAATCCATGACTGGATGTACGTTCTACTGTATTGTTGATACCTCTCAAGGCACGCCTCATCCAATCGCTTTTTCCTGAGTGAGAAGAACAAAAAATATATAGTAGTTGGACAATATATTCCAAAGTGGTTGAAGATCGTCATCCTACCGACACCCTTTTTGTACCATAACTGTATCCCTCTTATATATGAATAAACTGAGATAACCATCACATCAATAAGAGGCAAAAATGAAGTTGCCAGGTAATAAAAGACACAAGAAGTACCTAGAGGCTGAAACTGTCCTATCTTGTCGTATTACTACATAACCACCTTGCAATCTAGTATCAAAATGTTGCTGCAATGGCATGCTTATTATTGATGTTCCGAATATACTAGCATCACAATCAATCAGCCTAGACAAGTACAGAGATAAGGAACATGAATGAGGCATACAGTACACACCATATCATCGCCATTAATCTACAAGGCACTAGCAGTTGTTCCGTAGCACGGAAATGAGAAATCTGAAAAGAAAAGAGGAAAAGGATAGAAAAGCTGGAAGCTTACTTCTTGGGGGGCTGGATTTTCTGGGATTTGACAGCCGCGAAGTCCCTGGACGGAGAGCAGCAGGTCGGCCGGACTCCAACCAGCCTAACTGTGGAAGAAAAGAGTACCACCTGGTTGATTAAACGATGGAACGATACACCTGGTTCCACCAGAAGAAACATTTGTAACAACTCAGTGATATTTCAGGGATGGGTGCTCAAATTTCATGGATACGGAGACACTGAAGAATGGAGAAAGGGGATGTGGGGAAGGCAGCAAATCAAAAGATTGGCGGCGGCGGAGCTCTGGTCTTCTATGCAAAACGAAAGAAGAAGAAGAAGATTTAGGAGGGGGAGCTTTTACGCTGGTGGAACCGTAGCCGGCAAGCCATCATCGCCACCTCCTTCTCGACGGCAGATCCTAATCTCGGATTCTGCGGCCCCGCCGGCGACTGGGGCTGAGAGAGATGCAAAGCGCCGAGCCGCCAAGACCAAAGGAGATGGGATAGGGTTTGATACTGGCTGGTGGGGCCCGCGTGGCAGCGGGACGGCGAAGCGCACGCTCGTATTTGATGCCACGGCGCGTCGGCTGCAGTCATCGCAGCAGTGCAGGTGCAACGCTGGCGCACGTACGTCCGCAGTCCGCACCCGCAAAATTTTGTGCAAATTTGTGTGAGAAAACGGACAGATTTGATCTCTGAAACTCAGCACAGAATGAACCGGATCTGAAAATATTTTTCACAAAATGACCTTTTTTTTCATGACGCCTGAACCTGAAATGTCGTGCCAGATAGCATTGACGCCCTTTGTCGAGGTAGCCGCCGCGCCATCAAGCATGACACCTCAGGCCAGGAGCATGGCACCCCAACCCGGGGCGTCGAGTAAAAGGGTCATTTTGTGAATTTTGTGCGGATTTGATTTATTTTTTGCTGAAGTTTTAGAAAAGGGTCAAATTTGTCCGTTTCACCAAATTTGTTGGGTACCTGATGCAAACCACCGTACAATTTCTGCACATCATCACAGGACGAACCCCAACTCAATAAAAAAAAACAGTACAAACCCTTTCATTTTATATGGAACTGAACTGGGTAGGAGCAAACTTCAGGTTTCTTTCAGAAATGAAACCAGTGGGAGAAACCTCAAGGCGCCTCAGGACCTCCCGCTCCCGGATCCCAATGCATGTCTGTCAAGAGAACAAACCATGATGTGTGGGTGTGTTCTTCCAAGAACCTCAGGACGCAGATACTGAATTTTAGACAAACAAGTTTATGAAGGACTGTGATGTTCTTCCAAGAATATCAGAATATCAGAACACCGTAAACTCCAGATTACTGCTTTCTCGTGCGTACTTGTTCAGAAGAATTACATGTCGAATGCCACCCAGCCAGTGGCTGCTGCCATACTCATGGTACTCTGAACTGTGAGCTCACTGGGTTCCAAAATGAACCAGGAGTGATTATATTCCAGAAACAAATGTTCATCTGCCAACAATAATATTTACATGCGCTGCCGGAAAAAGATAAAGATGAACTCATATCTCTAAAATAAGTATACAAGGCTGGGAGGGGCAAACACAAGATCCCAAAATCATGTGCTTCCTCCTGACATAAACTAACTAGTAGTACACAACATCTGAACAAGGATATAACCCTCTAACCTCATGTTTCAAACAAGCCATTCTTGTACAAGAGAGTCCAATCCGAGTCATCGGACGAGACGAGCTCGAATCCTTCTGCTCTCATAGACTCTGCTACTTGAACAGGGTTTGGAGTAGCCTTACTGTCATAATTTAATCCACCATCACTGCAACCAAACTCGACAGAGCCGAAGCCGGATTGCTTGCTATCCTCCTGCAGGCAACAAGCGCTACCTGGCTGCAAAACTGTATCGGGCAACGCCTCGACATTGCCCGGGATAAGTGGTCCATCTTCATCATCAGATAACCATTGGCAGCAATCCAAGTCACCCATATCGAATATTCTGCTAACTAGCCCTTCTCGCCAAGATATCCGAGCCTCGGTTGATGCCGGCTTCCGGAAACTTGCCTCCTTCCCCTTCAATTCTGTGTCACAAGGAGATCTCTTGAAAGAGCTCAAGTCTATGGATTCCAGAGGCGTCGAAGCACCAGCAAACTGGAAGCTGAGCTCAGGCAATGTAGCAGGCAGGGCACCATCTTCATCATTTTGATCATAATCAGCATCCCCAGGCCTTGGGGACAAACTCATCATCTCGAGGCACTCTACCACTGGATCCATCCTCGTTAGTGGGCGACTGCTAACCCTCGCTAACCCTGAACACTTGCCTGTGCTGCCGTTTTCAGACCATGACTCACCAGAGACCCGTGTCGGATCTGTTGCCGAATCGTAGCCATAGCTGCTGCCCAGTCCTCGCTGGGCACACAAGGAGCTTAGCCTAGAGGAATGCGATGATGCCTTCTTCACAATAAGCGAGAAGGGGCTAATGCTGTCACCAGTGCTCGGCGTCCTCTGCACCGGAAGAAACTCGGATGACGGTGTCGTTTCGGACAATTCCGACGCCGGCGTGTCAAAATCGAGCAGACCTCCAAGGACCGGCGACCCCAACAGCCCCGTGCAGTCCGGGGAGAGTTGCCAGAATGGGTCCTCCGATGAGCATCTCGGCAGGAAGATCTCTTCGTCGAACAAACACGCGGCACCTTCATCGCGTGGAGATGACAGCCAGATGACTGACGCCTCCTTTCCGCATTTCGTCGAACACGTACCGGCCTCCCCCGATGGCGAGGACAGCCAGTGGATCGACGCCCGGGACGGCTCACAGTCGAGCTCCTCGCCGGCGATGTCAAGGATGCCCCTCGCCCGGCATTTGCGCCGGTCGCGGACGCCTGGCACGACGTGGTGCCCGGCCGCGAAGCACGCCGGCGTCGCGGCGCCGCCGGCCAGCACCTCCGGCGAGATCGACGCGTGGATCGGGGGCGTCGCTCCAGAGGACGGGTTGGACCCCGCGTCCGCCTTCCTCTCCGGCGTCAGGGCCTCGAGGTGCTCCTGCTGCTGCTGCCTCCTCGCCAGCCCCTGCTGCTTCTTCTCCGGCTCCACCCTCCTGATCCGACAACCGATCGGCTCGTCCCTCCGTCTTCTGGGTTCACGATCCGGCCCCTGCTCCGCCTTGGCCCTCGGCTCTTGATCCGGCAGACGGCCAGCGCCCGCCACGCGCCTCTTGGTCTCCGCGCGGGGCATCGGGCCGGACGCGGGGGTCCTCGGGGTGGACGCGCACCGCGGCTTGGAGCCCGATGCGGAGGAGAGGAGGAAGCGGAAGCATCCGGCCCGCGCGGCGGAGGCGTCCCCGGAGTTGAGGTCCGACAGGGGGCTGCGGCGGCGCTGCGCCGCGGCGCCGGGGTTCTTGGGCCTGGGCGCGGTGGCCGGGGAAGGGGTGGGCGAAGGGGATGCCCTCCTCGGCTGGGACGTGGAGGAGGGTGTCCTGGAGTATGGCCTCGGCATGGCGACGGCGGTGGGCAGGGTGCGCGGCGGCGATGGAGGATGGAATGGGGCTAATGGGGCGATGTCATCGGGGTTTGGACAGGAGGAGGAGAGAGCCGTTGGAGGAGAGAGGAGAGGGGTGTCGAGATCTGCGTCCGTAAACTGAGCCCTCGAACCATTCAATTTGCTGTAACGGTGATTGGGCCGATGACGACGCATTGACTATTTTTTGATTATTTGTAGTAGTAAATTATTGTTGTACTATGTTTATTCTCACACTAATACTGTACTATACTCCAAGAGATGGCATGATTTATCTACGAGTATTTAATATTATATACTTCCTCCATAAAGAAATGAAATGTATGATCCAAAATATCACTAATATATAGTGATCTTAAAAAAAATCTCATACGGAGTATTTCTTTACAGATGTGTACTTATGTATATTATATTGCTTTCAAAAAATATCAGCATCTACTATACTAAAGTTAATACAACATGAATATGAACATTAAATTTGATGCATCTAATGATATTGATTCTGTATTGAGAATGTTGATGTTTTTGTCTATAAAATTGTCAACCTTTATGAAGTTTGACTTCAGACAAATCTCATATGCGGAGTAAAAGGGCCAAAGAGAGTATCTAACTTCACACTAGAAGAACGCCCATGCGTTGCAACGGGGCCACATTAACTTTAAGAGTTCAATATTACGACATTGACGACCTTTTTTACCATCAAATCCTCACGCACACACACACTCTCCCTCCCTCTTCCCCACTCTCTATCCCCCTCTCCCTCTCTCTCTAACACACACACATATCCATCTTATTGGGTACGGGACCATAATCCATCTATTTCACACATACACGCTAGTGCATAACAATATGAATTATGTGTATTATATTTGCCACCAGAACTGAGGGAATTAATTTCATGTAAATCGACCAGCCACAGCTCCAAGAATACGCGAACGAGGTGGCTCGGGTCGACGTCGGCGCCGTCCAGCGCGGGCCTCGGGCCCGCTTCCAAGTGCACGTGCAATGCACATCTTCACAAATATTATAACCAGATGTGAGAAATCACATGCATAGAAAAGACATTCTGATAGCAATCCAAATACCATACTCAATTGAATACCTAACCTGGACAATACTCTTATTTCTATACGCCAGAAAAAATGGAATAGCAAATCTAAGTATGCCTACATACGCTCAGATTATATATAAGAATCTTGGGTGAACAATTGCAACAAAGCACTAAGCAGCGATAAATTTAAATAAAAATCCATTAACTATGCAGGCAGCAGGCTTGTTACAACATAGAGAGATAGGAAAATGTCACCTCCAGTAATGTAGCGCAAAGGAGTGGAACGAAGCATGAATGAGCGGTTGTCTGTTCTTCTCCATGTACATGGATCAGCAGTAGAGGCCAAGTATATAAGTACTTGACCGAACTCCACTCTTTGTGTACGGAGAGCCATGTCACCTTCTCGCCGCTGCAGCATGGGAGGACGGCTGGTTCACGTGCCCCTCCAGCTGGGGGATCCATGGTGGCTGACCGTCGAGCTCGAGGCAGAGAAGTTGAGGGCAGTAGTGGCGAGATCCATGCCGGCCAACCGGGCGAACATGAGGTCGTCGGGGAGGGACACATCGGCAAGATCCGGTCACCACGCGATCTGAAGAGCAACAGGCTGTAGGCCGACGACGTGCTCCATCCCCTGCGATGGGGTGACCATGGCGGTGGCCACAGCTCCTCCTGCTCGCCTCGATCTCGGCGACACACCCTGAGTGTAGGAGGCAGCAACGACCTCGACGAAATCATGGCCTCCATCCCGGAACGCAATCATGTCGCTCTAAATAAATGGATTCAATCATGTGACTCTAATTACTTCGGATTGTTATGTGCACACTAAGCGGGGTGCAGTTAGGAAAGAGAATGTTTTCTAATTAAAGTGATTGAGTGATTTAAGGTAAGGTTAATTAATTTAGATTTGATTTTTAGTGATTGTTAGTAAAGTATGATGCGTCTTTAAAATCTTTTATTTGTTTCCTTAAAATTTATTATTTGTTTCCTAAAGAAATTTGCAATAATGAAAGGTATCGGTTGATTTGGATAAGTTAGTAAATTTAGATCCGTGATT